AAAGTTTCCCACAGTGCTATCAGTAGGCCTCACGATGCCAGTGAATACCATTCAGCCTTGCCTCCCGGATAAAAATACCTTTCAGAAGGTGAGGCCAAGTGAAATTCATTAGCATAATTAAGCCTACTTATATAATTTTAGTAAAATTCAACTATCACTCATACAGCTTTTATTCAAAAGCTAGTCATTAGTATGGAAAGAAAAGTTGTGATTTGAGGAATCTCTTGCTGCATGAGTGTTGAGTAAAAGTGTTTGGCGAAAAGATTCGAAAGTCGATCTCACCACAGGACGACGGCAGTCAAGATAAATTCGCCGTCGACTTCTGGTGGGATAGACTTTCAAAACTCTACGAAAAAACATTTTCACTAGAAAGGAAAGTAAGCTCGAAAGTTATTGTTAATATAAAAAACATCTCTCGGATGTGATTGATAGAATGTGAAGAACAACAGATGACGAATTTTAAAGATCACTAGGTAAAGGCCATTCGGAATGCAAAAGACTCGAAACATGAGACATGCTCATCCTATTCCGTTTGAGGTGATAATGGGACTGGTAGTTAAATTTTTCCACAATCATATGAGTAAGCCTTAAGCTTATACTGAATTTTATATAGCCTTGTTTCTTAGAAAGTATTATTTTCTAGGCAGGAATGGACTTCTATTTCGATCACACTTTGGTCTCGTCAGCTCCCTCAGCGAGACTCGAACCATGAGAGCGCGGCGTATAAACTTCACATGTTAGCCACTACGCCACATTACCACAATTGCCCTTGGGTCACAGAGCAGACGTGAAGTTCAAAAAAAGCCATGTATTTTCCCATATCAAATTCTCTGTTGGGATTGTCGATGAAGTTAAATTTGCTATAAAAATTGACAACATTACATTTCGAGACTACAAGGAAATCAGATGTATGAGATGTGTTCATCCTATTTCGTTTAAGGTGATGAAAACCCACTTACAAATGAAAACGAAGTAATGCAGTCGATTACTATAACAAACATAACTTTGGTTCATCGGAAATCCCATCACGGAATGTGACATGGTAAAATGCCCTGTGACACAAGGGCACTCGTGGAAATGTGCGGCGTGGTGGTTAACATGTCAAAATTATACACTGCAGTGTCATGGTTCGAGACCCGTTGGGGGTGCTGATGAGATCAGTTTAAGTGAGGCAGAAACTGTAGTCCACTCCAGCCCAGATGAGGATACCTTTCGGAAAGCATAGCTATATAAAGTTATATGGAAGCATAGGACCTATCCATATGATTGTGGAAAAATTTTACTGCCAGTCCTTCATCAACTTAAAAAAATGGACAAAATAGGCTAATCCTCTAGCAATTTATGAATGCTCACCTGCTTATATTGAGGTGTCAGTCTTTCCTGCAGACTGACAATAGCCTGGTTGACTTTGCTCAGCGTTGGCAACAAAGTGGCCATGTCCTTGAGAGCCTCTGTGCTCTCTTGCAGTTGCGCCTGGATCACTGGCACCGATGGAAGATGAGCTTCAGCCACGGACTCCAGATAGTCCATCATGTCGATGAGCCATTTCTCCAGACCTTCGAGCTCATTCTTTACAATGAGAAGGCAAGAGGAAGAGATAGGAAAAAATCAGTCGTAAGCACGACTTCATGCAAAAAACAGAGATGAAAAAGACAGATGGCCAACAACCATCAAACGTAAGAGTAGTCCTCTTTCTGAATGACTTCCCACCTATGGTCTGAAATACACTAATTACACAGGAAAAAATGTGTACTTATATAAAGTGAGTAGTAAGTTCAATTTTCTAGTTATAAGAAAAATCTTCCAATAGCTTATAAGGCAATTGATTTTTTCCACAAGATGAGCTGTTATCCAAAAGTAAAAAAAAAGAAAAAAAAAAGAAAAAAACGCATAAAACGCAAAAAATCTGTATATATCGCGTCTGTCTCACTCCAAAGATAGTGTCTTATATAGGCACATTTTTAGGAATTATTCATATTTTTGAAGGCGATAATTCGGCAAATTTAAGATATATCACATCTGCCCAATCTTGCATCCCCGGGCGGAGTTCAGATTTCAGGCCTCCTGGTACGAAGAATGACTTAGTCACGATTGGCTGCGACCCTTTAGGCTCGATGTCACCCACGAGAAAAGTCTGAGGAGGAACGAGAAGACAGCGCAAATGCAGGAACGAGCAAATTGGCCATGGGACTGAAGGAAATGACTGGTGCCCAGGATAAGGTTGCAAGGAAGCTAAAATTACGCTTGATATAAAACTACGCCTCATTTCTCAAATGGGACAAACTCTATCGTATTAGCTGGAACAGGCTATTTTGCTTTCTTTAAAAAGGTGTGAAAACATTTGAAAAGTTTCCCTATCTATTGTTATAAGAGCCACATATTTAGAGAATCTTGTTTCGTCATCATTGCAATTTCACAAGGCAAAAGACCAAGCATGGTTTTTTATAAATAGGGCTACATCTAGCACAGGTATTTTGAAGATTTAATGAAAGTTTCTATGTTATTTTCAGCTGAAAATATTGTCGTAATTACTGAAAGGAAAGGACGAGCATTTATTTTTTATCCCATTTTCGAAGGGCGCAAACAGCTAAATCATTTCTTCCAGACAATATGCATATGCTCAAAGCTGCATTGTTGGCAATATGTCTTAACTTAATTCAAAGAGAATCCCCAAAACAAAGGCCATTCAATCTGTCCGCAAACAAAATAGAATTATTTTCGATGGAAGTATCTTCTGAAACTATCAGTTATTCTTGAGCAGTAACTCGAGTAGCTTTAGATCAGTTAAGGACTGATGTATGAATTTTCCTCAACGAGGCCTTCTCTTTCGCTGTGGGAAATTAAACTATTAATCATTGCATCACCCTAAGGGATGCAGGCTGAATCAATTAATTGCTATTTTAACGACTTTGAAAATAATATAGTCGACCATAAAGTATTTTCGCAGCAAACATTCCTGCAGCCCGACGTTTTTTAGTCAGGATACAAACTACTCCTAATTTGAAAATGTATGACTAGCCGACCTGAGAGATAAAGATCAGAGGCAAGACAAATATTGATTCTTGTATCTGATACTAACCTACAAAACTAAACAGATTATAGGACAATCATTTTTTCCGAAGCAATGCATCCGTTGGTGATAGACTTGCAATGAAGTGTGTCATTCCAAGTCAGAACTACAAAGTCAGATCTCAACTAAAATTCATGCATAACCTTTGTATACTGCCATCAATATATATGTGATGCATACAAAAAAAATACATTCTTCTGTACATAAAACAATATCAAGTAAAAGAATAACCTTTAATAAACAGGAATAATGAAGTAATACAGGGGTTAGAGTTAGTTGGCGGATAATAGAATACATGAAAAACAGGCAAAGAAGAATTTGTCCCTAGATGCCCAGAATTCGGGTAAATAAGATAAATGGTGAAAGATAATAACATAAATTCGAGCAGCATAGTTTAATCTAAATTATTGTCTAAAAAACCCCCAAATAATTATTGATAAAAGAGTGAAATTCATAACAACTGGAACGTGCCCTATTCTACATCGTATTGT